TAATGATTTTTTGAAAAAAAAAAAAAAAAAAAAATAGCCTAATGATCAGTGCATGTTGATGAATAAGGCATTCAGGGAGCTAGATGTCACAATTTTGTACTCCAGTGAATAATTATCTTTCTGTGTTTACTGTAGGAAGTCAATTTCTGAATAGAAAATACCTTAGTCTTGGCAACAAAAAACATTTCCTATATTACTGCCCACATTTGCATATAGTGTGGCATGGAAACTGCCATTAAGCATTCTATTACAAGCATTTCAGTCAAATTTAAATAGTAAAACGATTATATAAAACACACATAGAACATCATATCATATAGAAGAACATCATATAGATACTGAGATATTGCTGTTGTGACAACTTCAATGCTTGACAACAAGCCTCAGTCTTCTGTATATGTTCTATATGGATCAGTTTAACAGATTGACAGTGGCATCTCTTGGCAAGGATAAACAGGTAGACATCTGTGAAGTTTGCTTTATATGTAGTTTTATTTGCCAATAAGTCATAAAGGACAGTTTGGCTATGGCGAAGACGAATGTAACCACGTGTTTGCTTCACGTTAGGAACAAAAGTGCAGTTATGAAATCAGTCGGTCTGCCACCTGGCGGCGCGTTGAGGAAACGCATCCTCGCCGACTCCAGTGAGCCCTCGGGTATTTTCTTTCCGAGTCCGACAGTTACTTTTGACATGCTTCAACACGAACGATGTACAGAGAGAAAATACCGTTAGGATTTGGTTTGGGAGTTACCTATAGCGTTAAAACAACAATGTAAATACAGTTAGTGTTGATTACAGTGTCATTAACAGACACAGTGTGGTTGTAATGTATTATGTAAGTGTAAGCAGCATAACTTTAGTCTCACTCCACTGTTGGGAAATAGGGCCCAGTCTTGGTACTAGATATATGAAAGAGAGAGAAAGGGTGGGATGTTATAAAGAGAGAAATTACCTGCAGTAACTTGCCATCTGACACGGCAACGTTTATTTAATCATGTTCAAGTACACTCATCTTAACAGAAACTTTAAAGTGGAGTGTGAGAGAATTATAGGCTACATTTCAAAATAGGCCACATGAACTGTATAGGCATGCAACAGTGAACGAAGCAAATCTACAAACAAAACAACATGGATTTACTAATATTCATCTTGTATTAAAAGTATACATTTTCTCTCCAATGCCTGAAAAGTAATGACTATTTGCTGTTATTCATAGTGGATTGCAGTGCAGTCTTGTTTAAGAAACATATACTGTATTATTTTAGTCTTTCCATCCTGAAGAGAAGATTAATTAAAAACTACCGTTGATTTTGGTGTTATGTTAATGTAATAAGGGAAATTTGCACATTTGCTGGTATAAAAAGACTTTTAGCAGTGAAAGTAGAGTTAACATGCATTCTCTTTTTCCCAGACATGTCCTGGCTAGGATTTTTAAATTGCCTAAAATGTCTGGGATTTGGCTCTGTTTTCTTATGTTTTATATTTGCTGAAGGTAATGACTGAAAAGTAGTTTGACCAATAGCGTACAAGCATTGTATAATAATCATTATCAAAATGGCTTGGATCTACATTGAATGGACAAAGCAATGCAAATCTGCATAAAATATAATGTATGACGACTGTGGAGAGCATGTCAATAGGAAAACAAAGCCAAAACCCGGAAAGAGGGGACATATGGTCATCCTAGTGAAATTTCTCTGTGTTATCATTGAAAATTAAGTGCCAATATGGCAGCAGACAAATCATTTACAAGGCAAAAAAAGGAAAAGTCCACAACATTTTGGACAAGATGCTTGCTCATAAAATGTTTCTATTTCACTGTTCAGTCCATAAGGACAGGCGTGATCACCAGCGGAGCATCATTTTTGCCTGTTTTGTTGGTACAGGGACTGAAAAATGGGTAAATGGTCTCAGAGAAGTTGTCCATAAACGTGTAGATGTGCATCTTTGCATCCACATTATAAAAGGACACTTGGCCTTTTTCGTAGTCCACAAACAGCCCTATCTTCTGAGGTTTCAGGCTGAGGGGTAGGGCAGTAGAAGGCTCAGTCCTGAAGGCATAGTTGTTCTTGTCCCGCAAGCTAAGAAACCAGTAGCCGTTGCTGGGGCTGACTGTGATCTTACCCTTCCTGTTGCAGGAATGACTCGCCACTCCCAGGTCCCAGTCAGTCTTTCCATCCACCTCCACCTCCCAGTAGTGTCGGCCACTGGTGAATCCCTTGCAGCCCAGGACACAGACTACACGGTCGAAGCGCTCACGGTTGTTGGGAACTTGTTGGTGCCTTTCACCACACCACACCTTCTTCTTGTCTTCTGATAGGATGAGACGTGGATGAGCAGTGTTGGAGTCCAGGGTCACATCCACTGGTGTAAAAAGTTAAAATAATTACTATATATCCTATTTGTTTAGTTTAGAAAGTATAATGCACAGAAATATATGATTTCTCTCAATTACCATAATGGCATATAAATCCATGTGCATAATAATTAATTGAATAAAATGATAAATTACTGAGCAAATTAGAAAAATGCTTTTTAATATAGTTTTTGATGAAGTATAGTGTGTCATACTGCTTGACAAGTTCCCAAATGCTCAAAAACATTCAAGTCAAAAACTACTTGCACAAGAACAAACTGAAGTTCTTATGGCCTTCAAGGGATGCAGATGTGATGTGCAAGTATTAACAATCAATAAACTTATCTCAACTATTTAGGACTTTATCCATAACAGGGCAAAGCTGTTAGCAACTCTTGAGAAAAAAAAAAACTTTATAGCACCTGCTTATATATACACTGCAATAAAAGCAATAAAATGCCATCTCTAACACATACCTGAATATTCCTGCATTCTCTTCACTTCTGCAAAACATTGAAATAAGATCGTTATTGAAAAGATGAAGTTTAAAAATGCATTTCGTAATTCTAGATCCATAGTTATATAATGAATCATGGTAAGACGAACACTTGCCAACAGAAGTCTTACTTGGGTGTGACTTCACAGGTGATTGGTTAGCGGACACAGAGAGGCCTAGAGCAGAAAGAAACTATGTCAACTGAAAGAGGCAAAGCGCATGAAGTAACTTCTCCATCTGCCACTTGATGGCACTGTAGTGTAGTGTTTGACAGGTGTCACTCACAGAAGGCAGGTGGTACTTTCTGAAGCTCCTCCTTAAACTGTTCCAGTAGCTGACAGACAGAGGTATAAATTGTTTTAGTTCCAAGGTCACAGGTCAGTGAGATACCCGTCCAGTCTTTCATTGTCTTGGGAGTGCTGACGTCAGAGTAGCCCTGTTGGAGAAGACCAGGAGCAATTTTTGAACTTGTTTGTCAAGTCATGCTTATTTTCTCTCTATAGTCATAATTTGCCAGTTGTTCATTGACTGCTCCCATTGTAAAATGTCTAATAGCATTTTTAACTCCACTGGCAAATAGATAAAGAAAGGTGTTCAGTATATTATACATTCTATATTAAAATCTATATATTCTTAAACAAATATATAAATAAAAATAATACAAATTTGTAACAGTAGAAGAGAAGAAACCGAAAAGATGGAAGAACTGGAGAGTCTATTACTCAGATGAAATCTGATGCCAAAGGTATGAGTATGTTTTCTTGACACATTACAGACCTTCAGTCCGGTGATGTAATTTTCAGTCTGGGCCAGTTTAGCAAGAGCTGTGCTTCTCCTCCTCAGTTCTGTGATCTCCTGCTCCAGCTCTCTGATCATGAGCTCAGCCTGGTGCTCTGCTGAGCGACGGTTTATCTCAGTCACTTCCAGCAGCCCTGCCTGACTGCGCTCGAGGGAGCTTATCAAAGCTCCAAACAGCTGCATGCTGCGCTGCACCTCATGCTCTGACAGCATCTGGAGCACAGGGGGAAGCAGAAGCAAGGATGAAGGAAGATGTCTAAGCAAGGTTTTCATCAAGGTCCAGTACTTGTTATAATATCAGTTGACATTAAACCCGTAGCTGTTCACTTTTCTCCAAGACTTTGGGGATTTTTTGATGTTGTAGGATGAAGAAAACAAGTGAAGCTACTGCGTTACTCACTTTGATATCAACTAGTGATTGTTTGATCTCCTCCACTTTCTCCATCCTCTGCTTGGTCATCTCCTGTATCTCGTTCTCTGTGATAGCAATCTTCATCTGTGTGAAAGAAAACAGGAAATGATGCAACAGGAAGCGCCCCAGATTTTACCAGTCAATGCATGGTGGTAATGCAACATTGTACCCCTGAAGGTAACAATTTTGCAGTTTTTTTCTGAAAGTGTTTGAACACCATTGGATTAGCTAACAAAATCAAATCAAGTGGAATTTTTTATTATTATCTTTATTTTAAATATTGATAGCACAAGCATACCTTTCAAACAAGAATTGTTACATTTATTTATTTATTTATTTTAAAGATTGATAGCACAAGCACAATTTTCAAACAAAGTTTCATTTTCATTTGTTTGTTTACAAAACAAGCACAAAAACAATACATTTTACATTTATTTATTTATTTATTATCTGTTTATATATTTGTATTTGTTTTTTTATCTTTTGCTTTATTTTGTTATTTTATATTGTATTCTATTTTATAAGATTGATAGCATATGCACACTTTTCAAACAAAGAATTTATACTGTTTAAAATTAAGACAAAAGGTATTTGGACAGATTCGTCTTATCAAAACCCAGTTAATGTAATGAACCAGTTGGTGAAAAGTCATTGCTAAAACTCAGAAAAGTTAGTTCATTTGTTTGTGCACTTTGATATTTAATTTAATTGATATCTAATACAATGAAATTCACATATTTGTAAGGTGACTTAAGTAATAATATTATTTGGGGCCACTGTATAGATACTGAAGGGTATTGATGTAGGGGATTTACAGATTTTTTTTTTGTCAGTACCAGTTGTTACTTTATCATACCTTACTATTCTGCTGTTTTGTGTTTTATTTTTATTTGTAATGTTTTTAAATGTTTTATTTATAACACAAACACATTGATTTTTTACTTTCTTTATTTGTTTGTTTATTGTTTTGTTTTAAAGATCAATAGCACAAGCACACTTTTCAAACATTATTTGTTTTTATTTTATTGTTTTGTTTTAAAGACCAATAGCACAAGCACACTTTTTAAACAAGATTTTATTTTATTGTTTTGTTTTAAAGACCAATAGCACAAGCACACTTTTTAAACAAGATTTTATTTTATTGTTTTGTTTTAAAGATCAATAGCACAAGCACACTTTTCAAACAAGATTTTAATTTATTTTTAAATTTCAATTGTATTTTATTTTATTCAGGTAACCAGTTATTGATGAACTACAGTACACTTAGTGACAGTAGTTAAAAGTCATTGCTAAAACTCAGAAAATCTAATTGATTTGTTTGCAAATGCAACTTTGATATTTGATTTATTTTAATCTAATACAATGAAATTAAGTAATAATAGTTTTTGGGGCCACTTTTTTGGTTTAGATGTGAAGGCTTTTAGAGATTTTCTGTCAGTTGTAACTTATTCTTCATTTCATCCTACCTTATGACTCTGCCACTCTTTCTCGGCACATGTGATGTCATGTGACTGGTGTTCCGTTTGTCCACACGCAACACAAATACATTCCAGATCAGATCGACAGAACAGCTCCAGGTTTCGGTGATGTTTTGGACAAAGGGGGACTTTCACGGCATCTGCCGCCCCACTCAAGGTATACCTTCGCAGGGACACCTGTCTGGCAAAACCAGGTGGCTGGGTGTCACTAGTACTATCAGTGTTTAGTGTTTGTTCAATTTGTTCAGACCACGTTTCATTCTGAGAGGCCAGAGAGTTGCGGTGTGCCCTGTGCCGTGTGAGTCTCTGCTTCATTTCCTCAAGAAGATAACCTGGAAGTTGGCCTGGCCTAAGTGTACTACCAACTGGCTCTTGTGTTGTTCCCCCTTCCTCAGCGTCTCTATCTGCCCCGTCCCCTCCAGAGGCCCCCGGGTTTCCCTTCATGCGCTTGAACTGTTCAGTGATCTCTCGGAGAGTTCGATTAATGTAGAGATCGGGCTTTCTCTTGAAGGTCTGCTTGCAGAGGGGGCACTGACAGTGCTTCACTGAGTCCCAGTAGTGGCCGATGCAGGTCATACAGAAGCTGTGGCCGCATGGCGTGGACACCGGATTGTCAAACACATCTAAGCAGATGGAGCACAGCAGCTGCTCTTCAGACAGGAAGCTTCGCAAGAATGGCATGGCTGTGCAGAGGGACGGCAAAAAATACAGAGGAGACAAGGAAAAATGGCAAGATTAGAGATGACAATGAGGGAAAAATGCAAAAATGAAAGGAAATGTAAAGATGTCAGTTTTCGTTTTGGTTATTTTAGTACATCAGGTTACTAAATGAAAATTAGAAATATTGTAATCGCAAATGGCTGAAATAAAAACAAATATATGTTTTATTTTATTTCATTTTAGACTCAACAGCAAACATACAAGTAGAATATCATCAACACCTTGTGTCAATAAGAAAGCTGTGAGAATAGAAGCAAGTACTAAAACTAGAACCAATATGCAAGCAACATAATCAAACACAGTATATAAGGTCAAATACGGTTGTACAATTGTTCAGTTGTCAATATTCACAGACGTAGAATTACTGGATCAGTGAATGTTTGTAGTAATAGTCCAGGATCAGGGTTAGTTTAATTGAGATGATTTCAAATGTTTTGTAAATCTCACTAAATTTGACAGATTAAGAAAATGGTGTTCTCACCTCTAATCAGCAGTTTCACACTGGAATGAGGCACTACTGGCTAAAGTGTGCACATGTTGTGTAAGAGCACTTATCACGTTTTAGATCTGTCTTCTTCAGTGGTATGTTCCTTCCTTAGCTGCCAATTATCTTATGCTGCGTTCAAGTCCTCCTGCGACGTTCGTAATTACGAGTTGACAAGTCCTAATTACGACGTCAGGTGCGTTCAAGTCAGTTTAGTCGGCACAAGATGGCGGTGTACCTTCTTTTAATAAATTACAAGAAAATACAACAGGGTCTGTTAACTCTGCTTATAGAAAATGAAGAGCAAAGAATTTGCATCAGGTGTGTTTTGTGTTTTAAATATTTTTAAAAAGTAATTTATGAAGCCACTTTAATCTGTATCGCATAAAAACTTGTTATTAATTGTTATATTACAGTCCTGCCACATTCAAAAAGCTTACAACAATGTCACTGCTTAATACCTATAAGTATTGTGATTTATGTTTTACTTTGGCAATCTCTCGGTCTCCCTCTGTCAGACATGCAGTAAAATTTACCATCAACTACAGGCGTTGCATCCATCGATTCCGCCATGTTTCTCATTGACACGCCCCCAACTCGGAAACTCGGGGCTTAAAGAAAATTTCGAGTTTCACACTCATAATAACCACTTTATGGTGGCGTTCATGTGCGTTCAACTCGTAAATACGATCTATCCGACATGACTTGAACGCATTTGAACGCAGGAAACAAATGAACAAACACACACAAATGCAACCAGTCAGTTCTACTATTATGTCAGTGGCGCACTTAAAACTCCAGAATGTCATTGAATAAAAACAAAATACCAAACCAAGTAACATCTACTAACAAATGAACCATTTTCTCAAACAAACCTTTTTTTAGCTATTTTTTTCCAGTGACTTTTAACCAGCTGGCCCATGATTTTTAGCAGATGTATGAAGTCAGTTCCCTCAGGTTCACAGTGTGCTTCACCAGTGTCTATGAACCAAGTTTCACAAGTGGTAAAATAGGTTTTGTCCCTTTTTACAACTTAAAAAAAAAAATGATTTGCTTGAGAGGTGTGCTTGTGTTATCTTTCTTTTAAATAAATACTTGGTTTCATTCATGGTCTGATTAACGACATTCATTCATTTTTATGTGTGGCTTAAGTGTCAACAATTTTTTTTGTAAAAATACTTCTTTAACTATGATTAAGTATGAACTATATCTTTTATAACAGTTTTTGACTTACATGCATAACGCCAAATATGTTAACAGTCATAAAATTGTCTAAAAATAAAATTACCTTTTCTTTATCCGGTGGTCTCTCATTATGTGCTCGTGTTGTATCCTGACGGTTCAGTTTTACAGGTATGACTGAAAATCTTACATGTGGTTTGCTTTTGGTTGACTGATCTGCCCCTCCTTCCTCAGCTCTTTCTCTCTCACCCCTCTCTTTCTCCCAGACAGTGAGTTCAAACCTGTCTGATGAGATTCCGAGCAAGATTACATGCTTGTTTCAGACACACTTCAGTGTCAGGTTTGGTCAAATAAATCATGCAGAAACATAAGTAGTTTACATTTTGATGTAACTAATACTGACAATGATCATGACCAAACCCAGACACAATCTGCAAAGATTTCATTTGATTCAATACTGCTCAAAATTAAGAAAAAAAGTTAATCTGCTAATATGAATGAAATGTTTATATGATGAACTACAAAAAATGACACTAGTAGAATAAAAGTCATTGCTAAAAGTCAGAAAAATTGTATTTTTTTTTTATTTATTTTTTTTTCATTTTCTTTTTGGGAGTAAATGGTGGAATTCTGTTAAATGGATTTGAATATTGTAAAAAAAAATGTTAAACTGAGATGACAGCACAACATGCTTATTTGTAGCTGGAATATAATAAAAAAATAAAAACAAAAATAAAAAAAATTATAAATAAATGAAAGAATGAATAAATAATAAATAAATAACACTAGGAGATAGAGCTGCAAAACCTGCAATTCTAAAGAGATCTGGGCCTGATCATGACTGAATACGGCTGAATTAAAGGTTGTTGTTGTAAGGGAGAACCAGATGGTGACACAAGGTACATACCATCTGTAGAGAGACAGATAGAATCGCTTAATTTCATGAATGGTATTTCAAAAGTCAAACGCTACTCTACATCTGCCATTAACATTAGGGAAAGAGAGAGAGAGATAAGAAAGAACACAAAGAGTGCAATTGATCAGGGCATTTTTGTCACGTACCTCACTAAAGTTGGTTCTAACCAGTTCTCACCATTTCTCTCAACTTGTAGACATACTTTTACCAGTGTTTATCCCTTAAATCGGCATACATTATAAAATAATCTGAAGACTGACAGTTTTAAGGTGATGTAAGTAGAAAGAGTAAAGAGAATCAGTCTGTGATTTCTATAAAACATGTTTTATTTGATTGCATTATATTTATTAATACAGTCCCTAGTATCCAATTAAGCTGGTAATTTGACATCCATTTACACAATTGAAAATGTATGTCAAATATGTTACTCGTGCAAAAATGTCTATAATGCACAAACCAGCGCTACAGAGCACTGAGCACCAAAACAGCCAGACATAAGAAAAGTTTCTTCCCTCAGGCCATATACCTCATGAACAGTTAAATGTTCTCCCCACTGTGCAAGACCCAACTATCTATACTTCTATCCATACATCTATCCACATTCCCTTGCATAATTTGTATATAGCACATCTGTACATACAATATACTGTTTACTGTCTCTTTGCCTATTGTGTGTTGCTTTTACACATTTATTTTTATTCACTTTTTTTTGTCTGTGCACTGGAAGCTTCTGTTACCAAGACAAATTCCTTGTGTGTGTAAGCACACTTGGCAATAAAGCTCTTTCTGATTCTGAAAGCAGCTCACCAGCTGGATACTAGGTTATCAACTCATAGTTTGCATATATTTTATATCGCATATATTCCAAGCAGTATTCATTGTCCATAGTTTGAGATTGATAAAGCTCTTTCTGATTCTGAAAGCAGCTCACCAGCTGGATACTAGGTTATCAACTCATAGTTTGCATATATTTTATATTGCATATATTCCAAGCAGTATTCATTGTCCATAGTTTGAGATTGATATAGCAGCCTACATGACACTTAAAACGACTGCTCACAAGTCTTGATGGCATCTGAGCTCAGTTCTCCATCATGGCAACTCTCTGTCCCTTTCCGCTCACGCTCTTCGCTCTCTTCATTTGGTAGACCACCTTGGCCGCCGCATCTGAGAGACTCTGGAGGAGAAAAAAGTGATGTGATGATCCATGATATCTAAGCATGATTTGTTCATTTTATGCATAACATTTTTTCAAAATCCTAAAAAGTACATCCGGGTGTTCAATTACATTTTGAATCCCAGATTTTCTCTGTTATATAAAGTGTGGGAGATCTTTAACTCACCGCAGTGGAAGATGTTCGGGATGCTTGTTTGGCGTCAGTTTCTGTTGTGTTCTGTTTAGACTAAAAGTGTGTCATGCTTATTTAGTCACAATGATTCATCTATAATGCTAATATGGTTTGGTGCACTTTTGGAGCTGAGCAGATTTCAAAACATGTTGAATGTTAAAGACAATCACTGACACATGTCTACAAGCATGTGAGAGTGTGTCTATCTTGACTGTGGTATGCTGAATGAAGTAAACAATGACAATGCTTGATAAATGCTCTGCTAAAGTGTCTATTTTTGATATAGTTTTAATTTGTTATTTATAAAACTTATTCATCAAATAAAACTTGTTTCATATGTATTCATATTTGACTAGCACAACATACTGATTAGTTAAATATTCTATAATGTTTTAATGGCTTAAATATTAATGATTATATACCGTTTGGAATTTTTGGAATAATTAAGATTTTTAAGAAGTCTCTTATGCTCACGAAGACTACTGCTTTTACTGTATTTTGATCAAATAAATGCAATGTTGTGAAATGCTAAAATAACAGCTTTTTATTAAAATGTCATTTGTTTCTCTAATGGCAAAGCTGAATTTTCAGCAGCCATTAATCCAGTCTTCCGTGTTGCCTGATACTTCAGAAATAATTATATTTATTTACAGTATATAATAATAAATAAAAGTGAAAAAAACGTTTATAATAAAAGTGACAGTAAAGACATGTATAAAGTTACACAAAAATCTAAATAAATGCTGTTTATTTTTACATTGTACATTCTATTCATCAAAGAATCCTGAAAAAATTTATCACAGTCCACAAAAACATTAAGCAGCACAGCTATTTTCAGCACTGATAATAATAAGAAATGTTTTTGACACTGAAGAAGCCTGAAGTAATGACTGCTGAAAATTCATTACATTCAAAAATAAAATGAAATAATTTACATATACTATTATTTGGATGGTTGAGGGTGTATTCAGACCTTGTTGACAGTGGTGAGGTCTTCACAGATCATACTCATGGTACTAATCCAGTTCCCATAGATACTCTCTTCTTTAGGACTCGGCTTCTGTTGACTGTAAGATAAACATTGAGAGAGACGTATTTTATACATACACACATGATGTAGCAGAGAGCCGTCTGGAGAAGTTTGCTGTACCTGATGTCTTTGAGAAGGTCCTGTTGAGCTCTGAGTTGTCTCTGTGCTTCCTGTACTCGGCCCTCCATAGTCAGCCTGGCACACAGCTGGGCACAGTGAACGCCCAATATGGACATATTTAAACTGCCTGCCCACACCCAGCTACACACACGGAACAAGACAAAGAGATGGAGAAAGGAAGGTTGTTTTATATATATGTTGTCATGAGCTGTAGATCTGGAGGGTGTTTGCTGTTATTGTGTAGTATTTTGAGTGGTTTGCCTGCTGATGGTGACTCGTTTCTGTTGAGTGATGACTCTCGTCACTTTCTGCAAATCTCGAGTCTTGAAACTCAGCTGCAGCTGAAAAGGGACACGGTCCCGTTGTTGGAAACCTGAAAACACATTTAAAGATACACAAAAAGTTCTACATTTTGTGTTCCATACAAAAAAAAAAAAAAACAGTAAACAGATTTGGAACAACATGAGGGGGAGTATGAAAAAAACAGTTCCATGTGGTTTTTTTTCTCTAACAAAAAAAAAAAAAAACAGTAAACAGATTTGGAACAACATGAGGGTGAGTATGAAAAAAACAGTTCCATGTGGTTTCTTTTCTCTAATGCTTCATTTTCTTTTGATTGCACTGTATATTTTGTGCTTACTTTCAACTTTTTCTGGTCTGACTGCAAACTGGAAGGTGATCTCAACACCATCTGTTACGTTGCCAATCTCTCGTACTAACCGATGATTATCCTCCTCATATGGGAAGTACCTGCATCAGTCAGAGAAGACAGAGAAAAATAGAGACATTATGACATGTGTATATAGTGTATAGTGCATATGTGTGTTTGCATGTATTTACATGCGTTTGTGTGTGTGAATGTTATTAATGGATACTTACATGCCATCTGGTGCCAGCAGTGTTGCCATGACACTAGTTGCTAGGACATTGTCAGCTACAGCGCTCTGGATTTCAGTTGCAACTGTACCAATATTAACAATATTTATCTGGAAAGTGGATGAAAAAATATATAATTTGTTTTTTAGCATTTAAGATCTTGGCTTGTTTGTAATATTGCAGCTCTCCTTTCAAAGAGAAACATTACCTTTCAAAAGTTGTAGTAAGATTTTTGTGTTTTTGAATGAAGTCTCTTATGCTCACCAAAGCTGCATATATTTGATCAAAAATACAGTAAAAACAGTAGTATTGTAAAATATTATTACAACTTAAAACATCTGTTTTCTATTTTAATATATTTTAAAATTTATTCCTGTGTTGGCAAAGCTGAATTTTCAGCATCATTACTCCAGTCTTCAGAGTCACATAATGCTTCAGAAATCATTCTAATATGCTGAATTGCTGCTCTAGAAATATTTCTTATCATCAACTGCTTAAAATATTTGTGGAACCTGTGATGATTTTTTTTTCATGTTCTTTGATAAATAGAAAGTTCAAATGAACAGAATTTAGGTAAAAATCCTTTGTAAGATTACAAATGTCTTTACTGTCTCTTTGATGAATTTAATGCATCACTGCTAAATAAAAGTATTAATTTAAAAATAAAGAAAAAAACCTTACTGACCCCAAATGTTTGAACGGTAGTGCTTATTATTCAAGCTCGGTACAAACTAATAAACTTGTGGTACACACTATGCATGATACTAAAGTTACTGATGTCTTGCAAATGTACCAGTTTCCTATTATTATTGTTTCAAAGCAAAAAAATCAAATACGGCGGAAGGGGAAATACTGAACACAAAATCGTTCTTCCTTGTATGTGTGGGTGTCATTGGTGATAAGTATCGGTTTCTCTGAAATAGGCTTCAAGCTACATGTCTTAAAGGGGTCATATGATGCTATTTTAAAGATCATTATTTTGTGTATTTGGTGTAACAGAATA